AAAAAAAAAAAAAAAAAAAAAGGCGACCAGGCAAGCCAGCAGGGCCACAGCTGATGGTGACGTGGGGGGGCTCAGGGAGGCTTCCTGAGGACCGTGGGCTGAGCGCCTGGGGGGCTCGGACTGGAGGATGAGGGACCAGAGAGCTACAAGGGCTGCCAGGTGGGAAGGGGGCACCACCAGTGACCCAAGAGCCCAGTGTCAGAAGCCTCAAGTGACAGGCAAAGGGGCCCAGCGAGTTGCTGGAAGGGACGACACTGGGCGGAGACAGGAGGCAGGGAGGGCCACATGGGGAGGCAGCCTCATTCTGGACAGACCTAGTCTGCTGGGGGAGGGGGCCCACCGGGGAAGACAGAGCCTGAGGGCAGCCAGGGGCAGGAGGGAGGGGCTGCCCTGAGGCAGTAGCCAGGACAGTGACACCTGTGATGGCTGCCCTGGAGCCACCCAGCCGGCTTGGGGACCGGGAACTGGTTTGTCTGGCACGGATGAGCTAACAGGGATCCGGTTCCCTCCGAGACGCCCCGGGTTCGGCTCACGCGTCCTCCCCCTGCATCTGGGCCTGGCCTTGGTTTCTGGCACAGCTGCCAAGTTTTGGTACCGCCCACCCACTCCCCTCTGGCTGTGCCAGCCAGCCCAGCTCCCTAATTGCTGGGCGGGGAAGCGTCTGCAGGGTTGGTGTGCGGGCACCTGGCCTGACCAGCTCCTGACCAGGGAGGGGGACGCAGACTTCAGCCGACTGCCGGCCCTGGGGGCCCAGAGGCCTCGGTCTGGAGGAGAGGGGCCTACGAGATGAGACCAGGTACCTGGATACTTCCCCTTTCCCTCCTCAGACAGAGGACAGGAGCTCAGAGGTGGGACCAGGGGTCTGTCTGGGACACGGGCTCCATCCAAGCCTAGCCAGTGCAGAGAGGAACTGAGGCTGGCAGGGGAGGGGCCAGGAAGCAGCCTGCCCGGCCTCCCACCCAGGAGCTGGTTTTCGGAGGCCGGGCGCCCCAGACACACCCCCTCGGACACACCCACCAGCCCATCTCTGCACACACCTGCCAGGTAAACACACCATCGCCATGGCAGATGGCTCACACGCCCCACTCCTGCTCTGAGAAAGTGCTCCCCCAGCTCCTGCTCCACACCCCTACCCACATGCCAGCGCCTGGACTCCACAACCAGGACCCGCTGCTGGGCCTGAGGGGCTGCCAGGAGTGGCCTGGAGGACCAGAGGGCAGCCCAGGCGAGCAGCCTGGGGCTCTATGCAGACTTCACAGAGGTTCCCCGGGCTGCCCTTTGGGGCAGGGACAGGGCTGCAGCTGACTGTGCTGGCTCCCCTGGGGCAGGAAGCACATCTAATCCAGCCTGTGCCCCCATGCCCGCAGGGGCCCGGCAAGCAGGAGACGCTCAGCGCAGGCCGCCAGTCCAGCAAGAAGGCGAGCTTCTCCGGGATGTGGGGAGATGCCGCCAGCACTGCCCGAGGGGGTCTGTGCTCCGGGCCCTAGACCCAGAAGGGAAGTCAGACCTAGAGAGGCCAGGGTGGGTGTGGGAGAGAAGCTGGGACTGGCCTTGGCTGAGAGCAGGGATCGGAAGGGACTGCCAGCCTGGTAGGGGGCTGCTTTCTCCTGGGAGAGAGTGCTCCCAAATACAAACCAGTCAGATTTCACCCCTGCCTGAGAAGAGCCCCACAGCCCCACTGCTCATGGGGACCTGTGCCCACCGCTGTCCTCGCCCACCCCTAATCCTGCACCTTCCTGGGGTCCCTAAACCCATGGAGGGCGGGGCACACCACAGCCAGATAGCAAGTGGGTTCTGGGAGAGGACAGATGCCGTCTGAGGCTGGTCCCAAACCCAGCAAGGGCCTGGGCCCCCGGGGCCAGGCTTCCTACCAGGGGAACATTTCGTGTTCCCAAAATGCCTTGGTCTTGGTCGGCTCTCCCTTTTGTTTTCCTGGCGCTCCCTGATGTTCCTCCTGAAACATCCACCGGGCTGAAGAAAGAAATTTCAGCCCACACGGCAGCTGAGAACCAAGTGGGGCAGGGGCAGGGGCAGGGAGCGAGAGGCCTCTGCTCCCCAACACGCATGCCCGGCAGCTGTGTAGACGGGCATAGCCCACCTCCTCCCCACGACCCCGGCCCTGCGCAACGGCCCTACCCAGACCCTCCACCATCCTCTGGCCTCAGGCTCAGCGCACCCCTGGGCCTCCTCATAGAAAACATGGTTTTATTCGAGGGAGGCCGATGTCCCTATCCCATCCGTGGACGAGCACCTGGGCCCAGCGATCCAGCCTCTCGCCTGCACACCGGCCCTTCCACTCCACGGGCCTCTCGGCGCCCCGGCCACCTTCCCTGGGCCGCACCCCCTCCAGGGTGCGGGGCTGGGCCCTGCCTGGGCGCTCCACGGCTGGAAGGGCCCTGCCCTGGCTCCCGCCGCGGCAACCTGCCCAGCCCCCGGTCCCTCCTCTCCGCGGCCGCCCCAGCCCTGGGCCGCGGCTGCAGGCTCCACCCCGACCAGCATCGGGGAGGCCCGAGCGGCCGGGGCTGTGCTGCTGGCCTGGCCCGCCGGCCCCCGATC